GAATGGAGGTAGCAGTGGAGAGAAAACAAATTTAAACATACTCAGTAATCATAAATATAATAGGATTTAACTCTAGTTAAAGACAGTGTTAGCTTGAATTGGAGGCAAAATGAGGTGGAAAGATAATTTTTTTCTTAAAGTTGGAAAAATTAAATAGGGAAAATAGCAACCACAAGAAATGTCATATAGCTATGTCAGCACCAGATAAAAATAGACTTTTTGGCAAAGAGCATTACAAATGAAGAGGACTACTATATAGTAAAAAAAAGTTTTGTTACCAAGAATATATAAGAATTTCTGCAACTCAGAGGAAAAGCAACCCAGTAGCAAAACGGGAAGGGATATGACAGGCGGTTCTCAGGAGAGGTTGGTCACGGAGAGATGGTCAATTACACGAGTAGTCATGGACATGCAGGTCAAAACCAAATGCCATTTCAAACTCGCCAGGTGAGCAGAAGTCAGGGTGGGTGAGGGTGTGGCTCAGCGGGGGCTGTAGTCTGTTGGAATGGAAACATAAATTGGTACATCCACTTTGGAGAACAGTTTGACAGTATTTGGTGAGTTGAAGGTGCTCACACCCTCTCAGCTGGCATTTCCAGGCTGTGGGTGTGTATACCCTGGAGAAATGCCCGCACATGAGCACAAGAAAATATGTAAAAAAGGATTCATAATGCCAGTGCTTAGATCAGCAAACACAAACAACCTGCGAGAGTCCAACAGGAGAGTGGATACTTAAGGTAAGGTTATATAATGGACTGAAAACGGCCGCACAGCACTGAAAACAAGTGCAGTTCAGAACTGTGGGAGAGGCAGCAGTATATAAAGAAAACATACACTCTAGAGACGGGCTGCTTGGGTTTGAAACCTGGTTTTGACACTTAATAAATGACTTGTGTAAGCTACTCAACCTCTTGGTGCCTCAGCTTTTATAAAATGAGGACCTGTACAGGGTTTTGTCATGAGGATTAAACACGTTATTTGTCAAGTGCTTTGTGTCATGCCTGGGATGTCGTGTGAACCGTGCAAGTGTTAAATGTAATATCGGTCTTGATGGCTTACAGATGCATAGATGAGGAAGAAAAAGGAAAACTGTGAGAGATTTTCTTTGGCTTCTAGAAACGAATGCTTGAGTTATTCTGTTGTGTAAAAGAAATTCAGCCTGGGGGTGGTGGCTCACGCCTGTAATCCTACACTCTGGGAGGTTGAGGAGGGAGGATCGCTAGAGCTCTGGAGTTTGAGACCAGCCTGAACAAGAGCGAGACCTCGTCTCTACCAAAAAATAGAAAGCTTAGCCAGGTGTGGCGGTGCAGGCCTGTAGTCCCAGCTACTCGGGAGGCTGAGGCAGGAGGATCACTTGAGCTCAGGAGGTTGAGGTTGCAGTGAGCTGTAATGATGCCACTGTACTCTCTAGCCAGGGTGACAGAGCAAGACTGTCTCAAAAAAAAAAAAAAAAAAAAAAGAAAGGAAAGAAATTTGTAGACCAAACGTATGTACATTATGGATTCTTTTCTCCCCACTGCGTGTGCCACTCTGCAGTATTTGTGCACAAGTGTATGTGTGTCAGTGTCTTGTCTTTCTGTCTTAGCTCCAGCCTTCCCTCCTTATTTCCCTCCCTCTCTTCAGGCTGCCTCAGTCCCCACACCCTGGCTGTCTTTAATCTGGTCCTGGGGGGGGTGTGGTGGAGATGTGGGCGTGGAATCGTGAACTTGGATACACCACTGGACACTCACCTTCAGGTCTCTTGGCCCTCCTTGACTCTTCTGGAGGGACTTAGTAGGGCAGCAGATACTGAGCAAACTTAGGGCCAGCTTTTGAGGGGTGCTGTCTGTGGGGAGGGGCTTCCTTTGCTCTTTGGGCAGACCTGGAGGCTGGACACTGGGTGGACAACACTGACTCACCTGGGTCGTCCTTACTTGGCTTCCTCTTGGGTATGGAGGCTTCTGGGAGGGTGTGCTGGCAGTAGCAGACCCGAGGTAGATACAGTGGAAAGTGACACTCTTTCTCACCACCTACATTGCCCATGTAGGTAGGACTGGGCACCTGTTCCCGGTAGGGGGGCCTACCAAGGGGCCTCCATGAACCCAGAATGCCATGGCCCTGCTGGCTGCTGGGGTCCGTAGTTCCTCTAGGAGATGTTGGCTAGACTGGGGACACTGTAAACCCAGAGCTCAGGGAACCCCAGGGAAAGAAAGGCATGGCCACTCCAACTCCAAACTATCCCCTCTTCTCTATCTCCCATCATTCTTCCCTCTCCCTGCACTTTGAGCCCTCCACAGGCAGGACCCTGGTGGGATTGCCCCCTTTTCTCCCCAGGGCATAGTAGGGTGTATGCAAGGCCCACTGGACTGAGGTGTTTCAGAAGAGAAAAGAACTCCCAGTGCTTGTCCTTGAGCATTGAAACTGGTCTATGTAGGTCTTGCTACCTGGATTGTTGGTTCAGAGTGGAGTCTGCACATAGTCGAGAGAGTGTGTGTGTGTGTGTGTGTGTGACTGCTTCTTGGTGCACTTCCACTTGTATACCTGGTTCCTTTGGGGGCCAGCGGTTGGGTTGGCTGTGGCTCAGGTATGCAGCAAGCCCCTTGTTCTGGTGTCTGGGGGGCATACTCTCCTCGGAGTTAAGAGGCAGCAATCGCCCCCATCCTGGAAGCTCGGCTTCCTCTCCTGCCAGGTTGGGCGAGTGGGTGGTGGGTCAGGGGGAGCCTCCTGTGCATGGGTGCCCTGGCTCCCTGGGTAGGGTATTTGGGTAGGGCCTATGGTTGGAATACTGCCAGAAGCTATAAATAGCGGAGTGTGTGAGAGCCAGGGAGGAGAGAGGGAGGGGGAGGCCCCTGGGTCTCCAGCTGGCAGCAGAGCCTGGGCGTGGTGTGGGAAGGGCATGGAATGTCACATAGGGCTCCGAGTACAAAGCTGTTGTGGGCCTGGTGTGACTCGATGGACTGGAGCCCTACTGGGGGGCTTGTGTTGTGAGGGATTATCTAGACAGCAGGGAGGGGTGTGGCTCTAGTATGATAGCTAATGTGCCAGGCATTGTTCTGACCACTCTTAAAGTGCACTAACTCATTTAATGCACTTTAACAACTATTCTAGAAGGTAGGTACTGTTATGATCCCACTTCACTGAGTAGTTCAGTCATGTGCCCAGAGTCGCACAGGTGCAAAATGTCAGAGGAGGATTTGAAATCTGGAGGATTCAAGGCTGCGGTTTTGCAGGGCTGCCTGTGGGAGGATCTGGGCAGATGAGGATCAGGTGACATCCTGACCTGGGTCTTGTCTGGAGCCTCAAGATTTGCTGCTTGTTCCAGTCAGACCCTTTGGAAGAAGCCTCCTATCCCTGCAGGGAGGTGCAGAAGGGGTGGGGTCTGACCGCAGAATGGCCACTCCTGTGGTGAGGACATTTCCCAACTGACAGGCAGTATCCTTCTCCCTGGGGTGTACTCTGGGAAGTCACGCTCTCTGCTCATGAAGGCCACTGATGGGGGTAGAGAGGAGGCTGAGGAAGTCCTTGGGCTGTGCTCAGATTCAGGCATTTTGCCCTCCCCCATGGTCTGGGCAGGGTTCCTTCTCCTTGCAGCTCTAGCCAGCCTTTCAGGCTGCTGGTGGGCTGTCTGTCTGTGTGTCCTTCTATGGGATTGACTCTGACCCCTCCCTTCTGCCTGGGGTGGGAATAGTTGTAGGGGGAGAGCAGCCAGGGGTGGTGCCGGGGCACTGGCCCACAGTGGGCTCGAGAAGCACGGAGATCATGGGTGCAAGCTTGGTGCTGATTTCTTCTTGTGGGTTCTGGCAGTGCCACTGCCTCCCTCCATTGTGGATGTCCTGTCAGGGAGTGATGGCAGGGCTCTCCCAGACAAAACCTCCTTTGGCATCTTCACACTTTTTCTGATCACAGGGCTGTGGAGTTCATGGGGACAGTGGGGGCAGATTTGGGGCTGGGACTGGGGGTTGTTTTTTAGGGGATGGTAAGGAAGATGGATTTGGTGAAGGTTTGAGGCCATGTTTGGAGGAAAGTGAATGGGTAGTTGGAGGCTGAAGTGTTTGTCCACCTGGATGGCACTTCTGCAGGGGGTAAAAGGGGATTCAGGAGTAGATGGGGAGTGCCCAGGGCTGCAGGGAGCCCAACCCAGCTGGGAGGATGATACATAAGTGCAGCTGAGCCACCAGCTAGCCCTCCTGAGGCACATGTTCCCCTTGGAGACTCTGGGAGCCTTAGCCTGTACACGCAGGCCTGATTCCTTACTCCGTTCTCCAGCCGTGCTGGGCACCAGGTGTGTTGTTGGCTGTGGAAGGGACACTGGAGTCTGGGCATAGAGTTGTGGAAGGCCTGCCTGCTGTTGTCCCTGGGGGGCTGTGGGGAGCAGGCGGTGGGCAGAGGAAGGAGCAGCAGGAAGCCACCCCCATTTGTAGTTCCTCCGGGTGGTCCCAGAGGTCTGTATCACAAGCACCCAAGATAGACAGAAGTGGTTAAAAACACAGATTATGCCCGTTTTCCCATTGAATAGGTCTGGACTGGGCCTGGAAATATGTATTTTTAATAATAACTGTTGGCTGCCCCCCACCCCCACCCCATGTACAGTGATTCTGATGTGCACTGGGATTTTGCAAGCCCCTTCATTGAGTTCTGCTGCCTTGGGGACATTGCCTCAGGCAGGAGGCTCAGGCATTATTGGTGCTCCTTTTTGTGCATCTGGCCATCAGTCTGGCTGGCTGTTCACCCATCCATCCTGTGGCATTAGGTTTCCTGCCTCTTCACTCTTGCTTGGGCCTTGGGCCTAGGGGCAGTAGGAGAAGTGAGATGGGAGCTGATGCTGGCTGGCACACAGTAAGATAAGAGTTAGTTGTTGGATAGGTGGCCTGGGTCCCACATCGAGTGCAGAGGGATTGGTGACCCTCACTCACAACCCAGCCTCCCTACCTCAGGGTGGCCTGACACCCAGGACTGGAGGCAGGAGTTTGGAGTGACGGCCCCAGCAGCATGCTCAGTGGTTCTCTCTCTTGGGGGTACAGGTTCCGGGCGCGGAGAGGCTGAGACCCGGGAGTGCATCTACTACAATGCCAACTGGGAGCTGGAGCGTACCAACCAGAGCGGCCTGGAGCGCTGTGAGGGTGAGCAGGACAAGCGACTGCACTGCTACGCCTCCTGGCGCAACAGCTCTGGCACCATCGAGCTTGTCAAGAAGGGCTGCTGGCTGGACGACTTCAACTGCTACGACAGGTACCCTGCAGCCCACCCCTCCTCCTCTTCGGCCCACCTGTGCTTATGCTGCCTGCTGGGCCTTGTGGGTCTCAGGATGTCTGAATGGGAGCGAAATAGCAAGAAAGGGGCTCTTGAGGTGGCGCCTGGGCCCCAAGCCCTTCTGCAGTTCTGTTTGCCCTGCCTAAGTCTTGAGGAGGGATCTCAGTGAGTGCTGACTTCTGGCTGTCCCTCTTCGGCTTTGGGTCACACTTCAGGGGAGGTAGGTTCACATCGTCCCTGGATATTGCCTGTGAGGTGCTCTGTCTGTTGGGAGGGGTTTGGCTGGGTATCCCCTAGGTGAGGGCCATATGGAAAACTTTGTACCTCCAGGCAGGAGTGTGTGGCCACCGAGGAGAACCCCCAGGTGTACTTCTGCTGCTGTGAAGGCAACTTCTGCAACGAGCGCTTTACCCACCTGCCAGAGGCTGGGAGCCCGGAAGGTGAGGGAGCCTGGGGGAAGAGGGGCTGCAGCCTGGCAGACTGGGTCTCTCCTTAGCCTAGAGCGCTTGGCTCCTGTGTTGGGTGGGGAGTGGCTGCAGGGCCCTCTCTTCTGGCTCTGGTGGTATGGGAGTGGGCAGGCTGTGTGACACAGGGTTCTGTGTGTCCTCCAGTCACGTACGAGCCACCCCCGACAGCCCCCACCCTGCTCACGGTGCTGGCCTACTCGCTGCTGCCCATTGGGGGCCTCTCTCTCATTGTCCTGCTGGCCTTCTGGATGTACCGGCATCGTAAACCCCCATATGGCCATGTGGACATCCATGAGGTGAGACAGTGTTGCCTTGGGGCACGGTAAGGGTAAAGGTGGGAAGGCCCAAGGCAGACCTTATTAATAAGTCCTTGTTCTCTCCCAGGACCCCGGGCCTCCACCCCCATCCCCTCTAGTGGGCCTGAAGCCACTGCAGCTGCTGGAGATCAAGGCTCGGGGGCGCTTTGGCTGTGTCTGGAAAGCCCAGCTCATGAACGACTTTGTGGCTGTCAAGATCTTCCCACTCCAGGTGAGTGTTTGAGCGCTCCAGGTCATCCACACCCCACTCTGGCTTTGAGCTAGAGCCTCTCCTGCCCTAGGGCAATCCAAGCCCACAAGGTGGATGAGAGAGAAGTAAGCCTCTTTGGTAGTTGTTATTCATGTTGCACTTGGCTGTGGATTTCATGCAACAGTGAAATTTTATCATTGTGCTAGGGGATGGCTCTGCAGAACCTGATTAACTCTGGTTTCCAGGGTTTTGTTTTTGATATCAGATTCTGCGCAGAGGCTCTGGACACCAGGCCACCCCAAGCAATTGCCCAGGACACTTAGCAAAGCTGGTCCTAGCTCTACTTATTTGTTAGGTGATATTGAGCCACTCACTCCCCATCTCTGGACGTTATTGGCCCTATTTGTAAATTAAGGTACTGGCCTTAAGTGATTTCAGAGATCACTGTTGCTCTATTGCCACAGGGCCTGGCTCAGTCCCAGTCTTCTCCAGGGTCCCTTACAGAATGCTGAGGCTGGGGTTGGGGAATGAGGTGAGGGTGGCCTGGCCATTCTGCTGCAGAGCAGTGTAGCTGCAGCAGGGCTGAGCTGCTGCTCCACCTCAGGACAAGCAGTCATGGCAGAGTGAACGGGAGATCTTCAGCACGCCTGGCATGAAGCATGAGAACCTGCTACAGTTCATCGCCGCTGAGAAGCGAGGCTCCAACCTTGAAGTGGAGCTGTGGCTCATCACGGCCTTCCATGACAAGGTGAGCCAGAGTCATCAGAAAGGGCTCCAGGAGAGGGAATGGTGTCCTTGGTGGCCTTCCATAATAAGGGGACCCCTGCCCTGTGTTGGTATCCTCAATGTGGTGACCCTTGTCATGGGTGTGGATATAGGTGCTCTTACAATAAGAACCTCTAACTCTGGGATAAATTCTTATGATAAGAGTAGTGAGTTCATGGTTACCACCCTCTGACCCTATACCCCTTCCTGGCCTCATCTATCGATTATAGTCTCCCAGGAGAGTAGCCACTAGCCTGCTGAGACATCCCTCCCTGGGGCTGGGGCTGGGGCTGGGGCTGGGTGCTGTGCTGTACCCAGAGCCTGTGCCCAAGTTCCTCGTTACCTTCTTTTAGGGCTCCCTCACGGATTACCTCAAGGGGAACATCATCACTTGGAACGAACTGTGTCACGTGGCAGAGACGATGTCACGAGGCCTCTCATACCTGCATGAGGATGTGCCCTGGTGCCGTGGCGAGGGCCACAAGCCGTCTATTGCCCACAGGTAACTGGATTAGCAGGTGCCTTCCCTGCACTTGGCCTGGAGCTGCAGAGAGGGTTGGTGGGTGAGAGCAGCATCTGGGGATGTCTCAACTTCCTAAACACCAAACATGCTTGGTCTGCCTGCAGTGTGTAAGAAGCCTCTGGGCACAAACCCTGGCTTTTCACCTGTGTCCTGGGAATGGCATGGCCGCCCCAGCTGGTTTTCTGATGCCCTCTAATGGTCACACAAAGTGCTGACTCCATTACTTTAGTTGGAGAGATGGCTCAGCAGTTCTGAAACTTTTTGGTCATCATCACTCCTTTTACTCTTAAAACAACTTTTGTATACGTGAGTTATGTCTGTTGATATTTGTTGTATTAAAGCGCACATACACATCCTGTTAGCTGACAGTGATCATATTACATGTCGTTTAGCCTCTGGGAAACTCGTCTATACTCAGGAAAGAATGAGAAAAAAGGCAAATAATGGATTATTATGAAAATAATTTTGGCCTTGCAGGTCCCTTTGAAACAGTGTCAGGGACCTTCTGGGGTCCTTGAACCACATTTTATAAGGCATAGCATAAAGTTATCACTATTGTGCTTGCTTAGTGGCAGGCATTGCTCTAAGCACTAGAGAAATACCAATATAATTTAACACCAATTACTGCCCTGAGAGATAGGTACTGTTTTACACAGCCCTGTTTTACAGATGGAATAACACTGGTACAGAGAAGTTGAATAACTTAGGCAAGGTCTCATAGCTAGTTTAGTCTGGTTCTGTGACTGTGAATGAACCTCGAATTCCAAGGTTCAAAGCTTTGTAAGGTCCCTAATAGTAATAACAGTAATGACATAGAAGATTAACTATATGAATTTGCCATTTTGTAGGGCAAAAGGTTGAATGTTGACTCTTTTATATGGTTCAACTTAATAGCAGCACATAGTAAGTGTGCCAGGCATGTCCCTAAGCATAAATGCTTTTTACTCACTCAGTTGAATCCTCACAGCAAGGCTGAGACAGGTACTGGGGAAATTGAGGACCAAGAATAGCTTTCTTAGTAAGAGGTAGAGCAGAGTGTATACATCAGCACCCTGCTCTTCCCTGCCTTCATGGTGAGCTCGAGCCCCTCAGGGGCCTCTGCTGGATCCTGGGCAAGCTAACACTAAATTCCTGTTCTCATTCACATTCCAAATATTGTAAATTCTTCCCGGAAAAAGACTCACATCCTATATGGGTGTTCCTGTCCCCAACATCTCTGAAAATGTATGGGCTGGCTTTGATACTGCGGGGACTGGGACAGGGCCTGCCTGACCAGCCACTGGGGTAGGTGTTGCTTTGCCAACCCTGGTGGAAGCCTTTCATTCGAGGTGTAGTAAGGGGTTCCCACACCTGTTGTGGGCTGCTGAAGCTACCTGCCTGTGCAGCTTCACCTCTGTAGTCTGGCGCAGAGCCTGAACCCTAGATAGAGTGGGATGGCCTAGTCTGTGGGCTGTAGGGCACAGACTCTAGTATCTTGGGAACAAGGGTGGGAGTTGGATCAGGATGTTCAGGAGCATGTTAGGTTGGACCATGATATTCAGCTTCATCTCGGCCCACTTGTTTCCATAGGGACTTCAAAAGCAAGAATGTATTGCTGAAGAGCGACCTCACGGCTGTGCTGGCTGACTTTGGCCTGGCCGTTCGGTTTGAGCCAGGGAAACCTCCAGGGGACACCCATGGGCAGGTAACAAGCCTCAGGGAGGGTGGAGAAGAGAGGGGCTAGCCCAGGGTGGACTCTCTCCCCTTCTGGTGCTCAGCTGGTGAGGTGCGGTGAGGGTCACTGGGTGAGTTCAGCGCTGTCCGAGAACTCAGAGAACAATGCTCTTGTTTTACCACTGGGGAAACCAAGGCTTGAAAGGCAGCTTCCCCAGGTCAGTCAGCTTAGAAACGTAGAGATTCCCCATTGGAGTTTCGGCCTCTCGTCCTCGTAGTCTCAGTGTTTCTCTTTCAGTTGTATTAATAAGTATTAAACAAGATAAAATAGAAATGTAAGAATCCAGACCAAGAATTTACAAAAAGTGACTAAAAATTAAACTTAGCAAATCATCCTAAATAATCAATGTTAATATTTTTAAGTATTCTCCTTCCCCCTTTGTCTTTGGTCTGAATCTCAGTAAAATAAACTTCATCTGTATAGTGCCTTGTGGTATTGCTGTAGTAATTTGGTAACAATTCCATTTTAGATTACTGTTACTTTGAGTGTGTGATGTTTCATAATTACCATCAAAGCATAATTCACGGTGTGACCTCTCATAACTCTGTCGTGAATGCGGTCAATCAAGGCTCGCCATCATTGGTGTCGTGCTCTGCATTGCCCCCATCTGGTGTGCACAGGCTGTAGCTCCTACGTCCCAGCTGTGTGTGCGTTTGTGCATGGTCAGTCACTGTAAACCCTGCCTTCCTCTGTCACGTAGGTGGGCACGAGAAGGTACATGGCCCCTGAGGTGCTCGAGGGAGCCATCAACTTCCAGAGAGATGCCTTCCTGCGCATCGATATGTATGCCATGGGGCTGGTGCTGTGGGAGCTCGTGTCTCGCTGCAAGGCCGCAGATGGTGAGGAGGATGGCAGCCCTGGGCATCCCAGGTGGGGGTTAGGGAGCAGCGAGACCTGGAGGGGATCATGCCAGGCTCTCTCTCACCCCTAGGACCTGTGGATGAGTACATGCTGCCTTTTGAGGAAGAGATCGGCCAGCACCCGTCGCTGGAGGAGCTGCAGGAGGTGGTTGTGCACAAGAAGATGAGGCCCACCATTAAGGATCACTGGCTGAAGCACCCGGTGAGGGGCCTGGGTGCAGGTGACTGCGCAGGGGAGTGGAGAAGGGAATCCGCCACATGTGGCAGGAACCTGAGATCCAGGGGGAATGGGACAAAGAGAAAGTCTGCTATGTTCCCCCGGACTATACAGAGGTGTCCCAGGGGCTGTGGGGAGTAAGAGAGGAACCGCTACATATCGTGTCCTTGTGTGGTTTGGGCTCTGCATAAGATTTTGTTTGAATATTACTGCTCTAAGGAAAGCAGCTGTGTCTGCCCCTAGGAAGAGCCTGGGCTCCCACCCATGCCATATATGTTGGGGTTTCACTGAACCTTTCCTGGGGCTGTGGAGGGAGGTCCGTAGTCTCCAGATGGTGACTGCTAGGAAGAAAGGCATCCTGATTCCTGAAGTTTCTCCCCAGGCCCCTGCTAGTAGAACTGCCCCTGTGGTTGGGGCTAGTGGGCTCTGCCTGATCCTTGGAATATCGTCAAGTTTTCTGGCCCCCAAGCTTGTCCTCACTGAGGGGCCCTAACAAAGGTGTCTTTCCCCTCTCCCCAACGCTGCTCAGGGCCTGGCCCAGCTCTGTGTGACCATCGAGGAGTGCTGGGACCATGATGCTGAGGCCCGCCTGTCGGCGGGCTGTGTGGAGGAGCGGGTGTCCCTGATCCGGAGGTCGGTCAACGGCACTACCTCGGACTGTCTTGTCTCCCTGGTGACCTCTGTCACCAATGTGGACCTGCCGCCTAAAGAGTCAAGCATCTAAGCCCAGGACATGAGTGTCTCTCCAGACTCAGTGGATCTGAAGAAAAAAGGAAAAAAAAAAGTTGGGTTTTGTTTTGGAAATCCCATAAAACCAACAAACACATAAAATGCAGCTGCTATTTTACCTTGACTTTTTATTATTATTATAATTATTATAATTATTATTATTAATATTATTTTTTGGATTGGATCAGTTTTTACCAGCATATTGCTCTACTGTGTCGCAAACAGTGGACACGTCAGCAGGCGTTGAGGTGCTGAGCTGTGATTGCAGAGCCAGCGCCATGCTGATGAGCCTCAGCCACCTCCTGTCCTTTGGGATTCATTTTTCCCGCTTCTCTTTGTTTGTCGTCTCAGAGTCTGTGACACAAAGAAACCCATCTCCTGTCTTAGGAAACCTAATGCTGCAAACTCTACCTAGAGGAACCTTTGAAGACTGTTACATAAGAACATACCCTCCTCAGAAGAGGAGTTTCCTCTCCCCTCTGCCCTCATCCCCGCCCTCCCCATTTTATTTTGTTTTAGTGAGCTTAAGAAACAGCAGATGCGTCTTTCATGGATTTGACGGGTGTTGTCCTGACTGAGAAAAAACTGAGATGAAGATGAGGATGGTTTGGACTGGAGTTGGAAAGAGAGGACTGTGCTGGGGGTAGGGTTTGGAACAGAGCTACACTGGACTCGGGCACATCCGGAGTAACATCCTTTGTTATGGAGGTGACTTCTCAGGTAACCAGGAATCGAGGGGAAGGACCTTGTGGAGGCCAAGCGTTAACGGCAACAGCGGGGTTTGGAGAAAGTCTGAGAGCAGGGGCAGCCCTGACCCACCTTCTGGCCTGACCCGTTTCTTTCCGCGGACTTGGGCTTGGGCATAGTATGAAATGTGTTTTTTGCCCTAATTTTAAGAGTAGGTGAGGGTAGAAATCATCACAGTTTAGTGAAGGCATTCTTCATAAGACACAATGCTGTAAATATCTTTAATGGAGGAAAAGTTGAAATACTTTGTCTCCTCTTGGAGAAGTTCAGGGAAATGCCCACAGGGGGCGCCCTGCACAGGTGGGACAAGAGGACTTCCTGGTAGGGCCCACCAAGGCCTGCCTTGCTGGGAACCTTGAGAGTCCTGCAGCTCTGGCTCTGCCCCTTGTGGTGACATTACTAACCCCTTTCTGTGGCTCGTGGACACAGCTTTCTCCAGACCCCTTAAAGTGGTGCATATTCTCAAAAACTGTTTTTCTATTATGCCATAACCTTGCTCTAGTCAGTGAATGTTCCTAATGCTGCTGTTTCAACATTTGAATTTTTTTTAACTTATAAAACATGCTAATTTTTTTTTTCAAACAAAACACACATGTCCACACATACACATGCTTTGCTATGTGGCTTCCAAGGTTTAAATTTTGAAAAGTAAAAGAATTAAAACTTCACGACCACAGATCACCTCAAACCAGAAATACCTCAGAATTTTCTACTTGTGTAAGTTTTATTATATATTTTGTTAGTTGTGTTGTCTTGTAGTAACTATATTTTAATGTAAGTTGGCTTTTATGACAAGGAAGTTTAAAAGAAATAGAGAAAAAGAAAAAAAGTTTGCATCTTCTAGGGAGTGCTACCATTTTTGTTTGATAACACCCCCTTGTAAATAATTGTCATCAACTGTAGGTTGGCTATTTGGGCCGAGTCTGGGCATTCATCACTCTTGTTTGTGAAGGCATTTCCTTTTAGTTTCTTTAGATAATTTTATTTTAAAACAGTACATCTCTTAATCTTGAGGGTAGGCAAGTTGGTGGGTGATGGGGAGAGGTTGACTTGTGGGGAGAACCGAATAGGGCAGCCTCCTCTTGGGTTTTTTGGAGTTTCAGATATTTCCCATGATTTGATGGGTCGGTGTTCAGAATGACAAGTAACCCCACTTTAACTTGGTAAAACTGTGGCCCTTAGACCCACTTGAGGTAATTTTACTTTGAGATTTAATTTCTTCAGCAAATGAGCAGCGATGTTGGAAGCGATCCGTGGTGCCTTTGTGAATCTGCACGGTGGCTCGGGGCAGTCTGCTGGAACAGTTTGGGAGCGAAGGGATCTCCCCCTGGCCAGTCTTGGAGTCTGTCATGTAAGAGGGCACTGCCCATGCCTCGGGCATCTGCTTCCTCTCGTCATGCTGTGGACAGCGTCTGGGGCCTACTCTTGGGGCTGTCCTTTTCTCTGGGTGTTTGGGCACAGGATGCTGTGGGAGGATAAGTTTGCTTCCCTCTCAGAGCTCAGCTTTTGCTTCATGGGTCAAAATGTGGGCTGGCCAAGTGGTTACAAGGATAGGTATTTTTGTTTTGGTAAGCTATATTGTCTTTCTTTTTTTCTTTCTTTATCTGATTTTGTGCTGTGGTATTTTTCTTCCCTTGGAATAAATTTTTAACAGCAAAACAAGCCTTACAGCAGTTGCTTTCCTTTTCCATTCATTTTTTTAAGAAGCTTTAAAATATTTATTGAAAAGTGCCATATCTAATTTCTTTAGCTTTCTCCTCAGGCAGTGCAGGCATCTCTACTTTTCACCCTCAGAAGAAATAAACCACTAACAAATGTAGCAAATTTACTGCAGGAATAATCAGATCACTGGTCCTATCTAGTGCTGAACACTTAACCCCAGCCTTTCTGGGTGGTTTTTCTTTTGTGTGTTGGCTTGATTCTTGTGAGAAGTTTTGGCCAGGCCCAGGGAGGGTTGAGCTGTGGCTCTGGTGTGGGACTTTCAGTCAGGACACAACACAGACAGGGTAGGCCTGCATGTCTTTTCTCTGGGTGGCCTCCCTCTTGGCCAACTCTGCACCCAGCTGCTGTAATATCCCTTTGGGGTCTTGCCATCAGAATGAAGTATCAGGAGATGGTACCTGTTTGGTGTGGCCAGGGAGAAGGGAGAGTTGGGGTGGGGGGATTGGGGGTGTGTGCGAGTTCTTTGGGCTCCAGGCTGCCTTTCCCGTCATGCTGTGGTGTAAAATGCACCCATCAGTAGAACACTGGTTGCTGATGGCTAGAAGGTGGTGGGTGATTTACTTTCAGGGCATGTTTCTGGGAGCCTGGGTGGGCCTTTTGCCCTAGATAAAGTATCCGTTTGCTTGTCATGTGCTCTTTGAGGAGTGAGCCACTTAGAGCCCTGGTTTGCATGTATTGGCTCATGGAGCCTCTGCCTGTGCTCTTCTCCACAGGGACTTCATGTGACATCCTCTTCTGGAGAGCTCAGATATTTGCTACCTTTTTGGGGGGGACCCCAAACTGTCGAATACTGGCCTGGCATCATTTTTCCTACTCATGGGAGGGGCCGTCCCATCCAGGGTGGGTTGGAGTCAAGTCAGGGGAGAGAAATAGCCAAGGATCCTTTCTGCTTCCTTTCTGGTGTGCTGTCATTCAAGCAGATTCCTGGCTGTAGGGATTGGCCTTGGGGGAGAACATTTGAAAACATCCATGATAACTGTGGGATGTCATCCCTAGTTAGAACAATCCAGGAATGAACAGGAGAAGGAGGAAGCAAGGGACGCCAGAGGCCATTATCTTACAGTGTCCTGCAGAGAGCTCTCAATGATAGGGCATCAGGGAAGGCCGTGGACATGGAGTCTAGCATATCATATCCCGGCCTGGTATGACCATTGATCTCTAGCAGAAGTCCTTGTTTGCATGAATTACTCAAGGGCAGGGGCTACAGATGGGCCATTCTTGGGAGAAAGTGACACTGGCTGTGAGGGAAAATAGTGAGCATCATCAGTCTTTGTTGTCCAGCATGGCCTTCCTGTCCCGTCTGCTCTGGATAGGGACCCAGAGGGGTCAGTCCTGCCTGGGGAGGGCTTAACCGCATATACCAGCTGATTTTGACTGCATTCATCCTGTCTGGACTTGAGGGTGTTTGTGTAGACCAAGAAGGACTTTTCCAGTCTTGAACATCTTCAGGAGGCTGGAGCCTCTTTCTCACATATTCTCAGCAAAGGGAAGGGTTTCTCATCTCCAGGCCACCAGGATAGTTCTCTCATCGCCCCAAGGGGTCAGGCCAACTCTCTTGACGTGGCTTGATGCTTTAAAGAGCAAAGCATTTGATCCTGCAGTCCTGCTCTGTTGCCTTTTTCTCCAGATGGCCACATTCTTGTTCTCTCTGTCCCTCTACTCTTCCATGGGTACCTGGGCTATGTGTGGGGCTTTTCCTTGGTGGCAAGCCCAGTTGTGTATTGAATGTCCTCCATGTGCTGTGTGTGGTGGTGAGCCCAGCTGTGTATGGAATAGCCTCCATTGCTGTATGTGGCTCCACAGGCCTGTCACATGGTCCCTGCACTCTGAGCCATGAGGGTGGCAGGACTCGATGGCCCTCTTGCAAATAGAATTTTGCCTTTTTCAGTATGTAGTATAAAGTTCCCAGTACCTATTACTAATACAAGGATTTCCCGATTTTTAAAATAATATAGTAAGCATAACGATGTAAGTTTTTAGAATTGGTACTAGAAAGTTGAACAGCCAGTCATTATTCTCAACAACTTGGCTTGCTAGAAAGGTATCTAAATTGGAAAACAGTTTCCAGGAGTTAACCCAGTTTGGTCTTCAGTCTCAGTTATTTTAGCCTGTTGGGTTTTTGATGGCACACATTTGGAGAGATTGGCCAGGTCTGGTTCAGATTTCAGGGACATCAGATTGTACCTTTTTAAGAAGCGCAGTGAATCTGTTCCTCTACTTGCCATCCTGGGGAAGCAGCCAGAAAGGGAAGAGGGCAGGGTGGTTTTTTTCTCCTTGTCACTTGGGTGACATGAATTCTTTTTGGTCACTGGCTATTTGCAAAAGCTAAAACTAATAAGATATTCAGCAGCTCATGTGTTCAACCTAGTAATGATGGTTTAAGTCTCAATTGACAGTAATGTTTTAGATAAACAGGCCCAGTAATTCAGTTGATGAACTGTATATCTTCTCAGTCTAGATTTGTAAATGTTTAATGAATTCAGGGTTATACTTGTAGTTGTGAGATTCCGGGTAGTTGAACTGTAACCAGCAATCTACCTATGAATGTATCCCAAACCTTTAGAAGGCTTGGAAAAGCTTTTTGATATAATGATTTAATTTTGTAGGAAAAGGAAATTGAAGTTAAAAACACTCCCT